TAAAACTGGCATGCAAGCCAGGGACTGCCTTGCTTCTGATGGATGATGCATGTCCGGGCTGCCTTGCGCGGAAATCCACCGGGATGCCCCAATTAGCCTCTATTTAGCAGTTATTCTTGAAACGCGTGCTAAGTCCCGAAAAGTTGATGATTCTTCATTTTGCTGCAACAGAGAGCAGGAAAGGGGCATAGCAATGTATTTTCACAAATATATGCATGCCTCGATCCTCATGCCACCGATCACGCATACCGAGGCATGATGGCCGAGGAGTCGAATTGCACAACTCAATATAGAATGGATGCACGTATAAACACAACAAGAACCTGACTCCATCATGGATGATCCGGAGTGTCGGTGACTAGGGAATTGAGACACATTCCGTCACTCGGAGTACGAAATGCACCTCGTTTCCCGTGCCCGGGCTAACTCCTATTCTGAGCACGATGCAATAGTGCATAAACACATGTAAGTAAAGCATACGCGAAAACGTATCTCAGCCGCACTCACATAAGAGGCCGGTGGATGAAACTGAAGTGCCTCGAAATGCGTGCACATGGGCACGCAAACCGAGGCAATGGTATATGCAATGCAATGGCATGGAAATGGCATATCGAATGCAACATGGACTTATACTAACATGAGAGAGCCTCAGCCGCACTCACATAAGAGGCCGGTGGATGAAACTGAAGTGCCTCGAAATGCGTGCACATGGGCACGCAAACTGAGAAAATGACATACACAATGCAAATGATATGAAATGCGATATGGGCTTACACTAACATGAGAGAGCCTCAGCCACACTTACATAAGAGGCCGATGGATGAAAATGAAGTGCCTCAAAATGCGTGCACAAGGGCACGCAAACCGAGGCAATAGCATACGCAATGCAATATGGATGAAATGGCATATAGAATGCAACATGGACTTATACTAACATGAGAGAGCCTCTGCCACACTCACACAAGAGGCCGATGGATGAAAATAAAGTGCCTCGAAATGCGTGCACATGGGCACGCAAACCGAGGCAATGGTATATGTAATGCAATGGCATGGAAATGGTATGCAAACATGCTAATGGATTTTCAGCAATGAAATGTGGGGGAAAACAGCCCCGAAATGAGGCGAAAACACACCCGATGTATGGAATCTCTCCCGAAATGCAAATTAGGCGCATAGAATGAACTACAGCTATACAAAGCATGCATAATTGGTACACGAGATGAAAAGACAGAAGAAAGGCAGCCTCAAAATAAGCATTTTTACAGTACAAATCATGGCCAAACAGCAAGCAAAGATAGGGCAACAATGGCATGCAAAAATGGCCCTAAACATGAGATTATGAAGCAACTCATAGTTGCTAACTCCAAATAGGTTAGGGTCCTTCAACAAAATTGAAGAGGGGCCAAAAATAAGCCACTTTACAGAACTGTAAAAATCCTAAAAACAAACATAGATATGGCTAAGCTTTTATGCAAGAAAAAGGGCCAAAAGGTGGCCAAAGAGGCAAGTGGTATATGCAAAGCCCAAACTGAAAAATTCCCTTCTACAACATTGAAGTGGGACCAAAAATATGACTATTTACAGAACTGTAAAAACCCCAAAATAGTATACAAACATGCTAGAAATGCAATGCAAAATGAGGCTCAAAAGAGGCTATAACACAAAGTGTGCAAAATATTCATCAAACAAGCAAAGACCCTTAATAAAACATGTTAAGAAGGTCAAAATAAGACTATTTAATTACAAACACACTCCATAAGGTTTACTTAAATTACAAATTATCTCTGTGATTTTGAAAATTACATTATGTCTCCTAAGGTTTCTAATTTCATAATAAATAAGTACTTTTATTAATAATTTATCAAGTTAATTAACAGTTTTTAATAATATTAAAACTTTATTTCAATTAATAATTTTATTATTGTATAGGTGAACAGTTAGAAATTTTACTTTTTCTAATTAATTCTGTTAAATAAAAAATTCTAATAGTGAGGTATTTGTAATTTTCTAAATCACATGGGGCAATTCATATTTTAAGCAAATCTCAAAGGGCGTATTTGTAATTTATCCTTAAAAAAAGAAGAAGAAAAAGAAGAAGAGAAGACAATATATATAGATTTAAAGTAAAAAATGTTCCCCTTTTTACTACTTGCACACACATTTTTTCTCTTATGAGTACACTTACCATTTTAAAAACAAATATATACATATTTATCAATAGTTCATGAATCGTTTAGATAAAAAGACGATGTTGTCATCTATTTTCTACTAAAATGCATATTTATCTATGTTTATTTTAATATTTATCCAATATCTGCATTAGTTTTAATTACTTCAACCTTATTAAAAAAGAGGTTATTGTAATTATGTCAAACTTGTGAGACTAACTGTATTTTTCTCAAATCTCGAGAGAGGTGAGTGTAATTTACTCTAAAATTATGTTTGGTTTATGGATTCAAAAAAGAATTTGGAAAGAAAAAGAAAAACGGTGTGTGAAATATAAGTGACTTAGTTATATTTTACCTACCTTTTCTTTCTTTTTTCTTTTTTTTCCTTCTATTTTCAAATCTCTACATAATCCATGAATAAAACAAATTTTTATATGAACACCTCTCAATCACAAGAAAGTGAAAAAAATTTGTGAAGAAAGTTACAAATTTTTACAATGTTAGTGATAAATTTTGGTTAATTTATTTCAATCTAATAGCTGTAATGATGATTGGCATGCAGCTTATTTAATTAGTGATATTTTGTATTTTAGTTTTCTTAGGCCTAGTTTGACATACCAGAAAAAAATCTAAAAAGTCAAAATATTACTAAAAAAGTTAAAAAATTATCACTATTCACAAATTAAAAATACAAAAAAAATTAATTTACACAATATTTTAATACAAAAACCAACGAGTTGACAGGTACTGAATTTATGTCAAAAAGTAGTTTGTCAAAGAACAAAAAAGAAAATTACATATATATATATATATATATATTCATTAAGTTGGAGGGTAAGGTTGGGCCCGTGGGGGCCTACCACGGGTCCTTTTTAAAAATCCGAACCGTTCAATGTGTAAAACTTGTCGAGTACTATATATGCTTGTAAAAAATCACGTTGATCAGATATCACTAACTACATGATCAAATCAGTTTTGTATAAAAAATGGATGGTGTTATAGTAGATGGTTGAAAAAAAAACTAATCCGATCAGATAGTTATTGATGTCCGATCAATGTGATTTTTTACAAACATATAGTACTCGACGAGTTCTACACATTCAACGGTTTTGATTAACAAAACGGGACCCGTGGTAGGCCCTCACAGGCCAAACAATACCTCCAATTCAATGCCCGAAAAGCATGGAATCATCTCCTAGCCTATACATATCCCACGCTGTCCCTTAATTCATCCAACCATACAACCTATTCTATCCCAATCTTATCCTATACACTAATTTATTCAATTTTAAAAAGTCAAAAAGTTATCCCCAACAATCATTTTTTCCCTCAACTTTTTGATCTAAAAAGCCAAAAAATACACTTATTTAAGACACCCCAAACAACCCCTTAATATTATCAAGCCAAATCATCACCATATATAAATAAAATAAACATCTCGATTTTTTATATAATTAAAAAAAAATTATTCTCAAAATATTTACCTTTTTTTTTCATCTAACAAAAAAAATCAAAAAATTACTAAAAAAAGTTAATTCTTAAATGAGGTCCTAAGCTCCTTGGAGTTTTGATATGTGGAGTCACCATTGGTATTTAGAGTTGGAAAATGTTTGGTGGCCCAAATTTCTGTGGTTTGAATGGCTCAAATGTGTCAAAACGACGTCGTTTTACATCTAAAATGACGTCATTTTTGGTGTTTCGAGCCATTCGAGCCATATTTTTTCGTGTCACCTATCATTGTTGTTTAGAGTTAGGCTACGTCCCATTATGAAGAATTTTGTGTGAAAATTTTGTTCAAAAGAAAAAGGTACTAAAGCGAAGTAAAGTAAAAGAAAAGTGTATTGTTGAGATTTTTGTAAAATCTTGTATATATTTTTTTGGTAAGATATTCCTAAGATTGAGCCTAAGAATTTGTCGGAACTTCCTTTTTTAAGAATTTGCTTTCCTTTCCCTGGTGTACCCCTTGTGGGATGAATTGTTTTAGTCCCAACTCCCAGATAAGAAGAAGGAAATCCAAAGAACTTCCTATTTTTTTAATTTCTTCACCGAGCTTGTGAAAGTCGTGGAGTGCATAAGCCCATGACAAGAGGGGCGACTGAACGGAAGACTCTTCCCATGGCGGAGTCACCATTGACTCTATTTATTATTATGGTAAATCGGTATATCAAGATGTCAATTTGAGATCTTATTTTGGTAAGATATGTTTTAAAAGAAAACTTGTCCTGATGAAAAAGTAATTGGCTTATGTATCTGTTAGTAGACATTTTTTAAGTAATTGATTTGTCAAATTTAATCTAGATTGAAAACTTAGGCTAAAGAATATGTAAAATATTGTTTGCTTTTTAGCACATTAAAAATTCAGTACAAGTTAAAAAATGACTCGCATAATGTCTAGAAAAATGTAGCATAACTTGATTTTTAAGCAAAAATTCTCAAAATCATTGAAAGACAAAGCATGTCAACAGAAGAATTGGCCCAAACAGATAATCCAAGAAAGCTGCAAATAAACCATAAAGGGTTTCAATACATGAATAAGAAAAGTTCACTGCTTCTAACATAAAAATAACAATTGTATCAGATCAACACAACACATCATGTCTTTGTAAGATCTCAAACTAGTCTAGAAACATAGGTCTGAATCAAGATAACAGTAATTCATGCCGCCTCCGCGGTGGGTTGGGTCAACCCAAAGCTCACCAACAACTTACTAAGAGATTCGGGAGAGCTAACCTGGTACTTCACTTTCCCCGAAGAGAGGAAAACCTCAGCCAGTTCAAGCTTATCCGAAGTAAGACTGGTGTTGTCCATAGTCTTACTGAGCACCTTTAGCACAAGCTGTACCGCCTCTTCTCTTGTGATATCATCCTTGTAATCCTGCTTAAGCATCGACTGCGCAGCCTGGCTGTTAGCACCGATTGCTGCAGCCTTCCAACCACCATAGTTTCCACTCGGGTCGCTCATGTAAAGCTGAAACCTGTAGTTCTTATCCCATCCCGCAAACAAAAATGATACACCAAATGGTAGAAGCCCACCGAATTGTGTGTATCCTTGTTTGGTGTCACATAGAGATTGAACCAGCTGTTCAACTGGCATTGGTTCTTGGTAAGCATACGTGTAGCGCTGAGCTTGGACCCGGGTTGTGTTGATGAGGATGTTGTCATCAATCTTGTACATTTTCTCGATGGATGATGAGGTCTGTAGGAGTTTGGAAGTGACTTTCTTTTCTCCAACCAGTACGACCCCATCTTTTGATAGTAGCCCTATGGCAGTCCCAGCATTTCCAATTGCTTCCATTGCATATTCAACCTGGTACAGACGACCTTCTGGAGAGAAGATTGTTGTACGGCTGTCATACCTTCGAGGCATCTAACATATAACACAAGAGTGGAATCTCATTAGATTAGTCAGACAGAAAAAAAAAAAATGGTGTCATTGAAGATTTATTTTATAGATGCAGGA